GGTTACGGGGAAAAAAAAAAAAAAAAAAAAAAAAAACTTAACGAACGAGCCCATTTACCTAGCGGTGAGTGGATCCAACCCAGTTCAACCTCGGGCCACTTTTGATCTGAGCGTGGCTCTCCCAGTTGTTTATTTTCACTTGTGATTGGTTGTTGCCCCCAGTTAGAACCGGTCTTGTGAGACTGGAGCGGTTTGCGGCATCGAGGCTGAGTGCAGAGCTGCTGTTTCTGGGTGCGTTTGTCACGGGAGTGGGGGAAGGGCGTATTTTCACTCTCCTTGTCATAACAAGAGCTTCTTCCTGATTCCCAGCTCGAATCGGGTGTTGGAAACTTAGAGGAACTGACTCTGTAAATCCATCAAATTCGATATCCATTAACTCGCTGTTGGGGTTGAAGAAAAAGCCGGTTCTCTTAGTGGTCTGAGAAGGTGTCACTAGCTATGCAGTCTAGAAGGAAGCTGGCCCTCGGAGAGTCCTTCCTTCAGCCTTCCAGAACAACAGCTGAATTTGCTTGGCTGATTCGTGCATCATATTTTCCCTCTTCCACTTACAGGCCGAGCATACAGAACTTCATGAATCAGTAGAAAAAAAAAACATAAATGTAATACTAGCAAGAACATTTGCGTTTTAGAAGCCCAAGATATTACTTGCATTATTTTACTTGCATTATTTCATGTTTGATAAAATTCCTAAAACAAAAAATGAGTAATTTTTCTGTCAACTCCCTAGAAGTTTGATTTCTTTAGACTCTAAACAATTCTAAGGATCTTCATAATGGGCAGAGTTCATTTTTCCTATTCTCTTTCCAAGAGCCTCAGAGTTTACTCTGCTTAGTGAATCTCCTTACCCATACACTCAACACACATCATGTGAGCATAGTTAAATCAACTAGATGTTCAAGAAAATTGTTTTGGCCCATTTTGCGAAGCCCAAAGAATGTTCTTAGAGACAAAAGCAATTTGGCATGTTGTCAAGGTAACGAGCCTTAAATTTTTCTTTAACTTCATTGTTGCCGTGATAAAGTACAGAATTGGGCCCGACTCCTTCTTTCAGGAGGAAGAGAAATGGTGGCTCCCTGGCTCACTGCTGCGGCATGGAGCTGCTCGCGTGTGTGACCGAGGGGCCGAGTGGGTGGCCGCGTGTGTGGCCCCGGGGACGCTGAGCACCCCTCGCTGTCGCACGTGGCCCTCGGGAGCTCCCCGTCTGCTCCTCAGTCCGAGGAGTCTGTGTCCGGGCTATTGGTAAAGTGCTCCAGGAGCTGCTGTGCTGTGCATTTCAAAGTGCTTCGAGCACGGTGCCGACCTTCTTTTAGCCTGCATGTCCCTTGTTTTATTGTCGTACACTTGCATCACATATTTTAGTTATTGGGCAAAAGAGCAGAGACTGCCTTGTGCAATTTTCACCGCAAGTGTGGAAACCAAAATAGCAAGCTTCAAGAGTGCGGGCTCGGAGCTTTCCCGGCATAAACTTACGGAGCACCTTGTGTGGGTTTATGGGCACGTGTTCGCGGGAAAGCCAATCACAGTGCCGCGTGAGGTGTGAGTAAACACTCATTTGTATCATTCGCTCATTCGTTTGGCAGGTGAGCATCTGGTGCCTGCTCTGCAGGGCCTGCCGTTGGGAGCGGGGAGCCTGAAAGGCAGTTGGATGCAGCTGTGCCCCACGTGGGCCAGCTCGGTGCAGAGGGCAGTCTGCCTGGAGAAGCGGGGACAGCAGCTAGCGTAGCAGGAGCCGGCACAAGGATTCCCAACAAGGGAGTTCTTTGGGAGGAGGTGCGCTCCAGGCAGACACCGAGCTGTCCAGGAGAAGCGTGGGAGAAGGCGCATTCTTGGAGGAGGAGCATCAGAAGTGAGGGTGTTACTAAGTGTCACTGCCCTGGGTGCCTTCTCTCCTGTGGACTTGTGGTTTGTACGAGAACATGCTCTCGGGTCTTGTCGGTCTGCTGGGGCTTTGGTGAGATTCTGTGTTTCTGAATCACATTTTAAAACCCAGGCTTTACTCAGCTGGCTTTGATCTGTCACCCACCCAAACGACAGCCCTGTGCGTCTTTCCTGCAGGGCTGCGTTTGCTATGGGAGCTCCAGGCCTAAGCTGAGGCCTCTGGAGATGGTGGCAGGCCTCAGAGCAGACCTGGCGCTGTCTCCTGCAGTCTGTCTCCTCCTTATAAATCAAAGAGCTTATCCTGTACAATTTCTTCAAGTACTTTTTTTATCTTGAATTTGCTATAATTTTAGGAGTAAAACAAGGAGGGCAGTGGGTGAATTTTAAAGTGAAGGGTAGACACGTAAACAGCCAGGCCTTTCTTTCTGTGGCTCTTTAGGGCACAGTCCACGTGGCCCTTTCTGTGCCAGTGTAGACACAGTGGCTTCCAAAGAATGACTCGGCTCTTCTCAGTCTCCCCTTTAAACGGGGAGCCACGCAAACTGTCGGAAGTCATGCCTTAAAGAGGCCCTGCCTGTAACTCTGGGTGTGTGTCCCTCTCTGGCCCACAGCTCCTGAGGAAGAGGCACATCGGAAATGACATCGTCACCATCGTCTTCCAAGAGCCCGGGGCACTGCCCTTCACTCCAAAGAGCATCCGGTCTCACTTCCAGCACGTCTTCGTCATCGTCAAAGTGCACAGTCCCTGCACCGAGAATGTGTGCTACAGGTGAGGCGGCTGAGGGCCAGCCCTGCCCCTGTCCACAGGCTGCCTTTCCCGAGGGCTCCCAGGGGTTGTCTCTGGCTCCCCACTTTCTAATCCACCCCCAGCAGGTCAAAACGGCGGATCCCACCTGCCCTCGGTCTGCCCCTTACGGACCCCGTCCAGCTCCTGCTGAGCCTGTAGCTCAGGGCCACCGGCGTGTGGGTCGGGGCCGGCCCCGTCTGGCTTCTTCCCGGGAGAAGTACACAGTGCTCATAAAGCATCACTTCCCTCTGAGATCTCAGAGGCCTCCTCAGGAAACGAGGTGACACTTGGCCTTGGTGACTTGAAACGGGCTCGTTTTCATCTCCCCCGCTCTCGTGGCGCACGGGCACTAGCGAGGAGTGGGCTGTGACCGGATTTGAGGCCAGATTTGCTGCCTGTCACGAGGCCTGTGTGAGTTGCCTTAGTTTTCTTAGCTGTGGCCTTGTTTTAAAGTGGAGGACGGAGTACCTCCTCCCAGCTGTGGTTATGGAGAATAGCTTCCGTCGGGCAGACACCTGCAGAGTTGTGACATTCAGCCGATGTGGTGCCTCCGTAATTGTGAACGTGGTGGCGCTCCAGCTGCCTCCTGGCCCAGGCGCAGGCCCGGCCCGAATGTCAGATGTGCGGGGCCTGGGAGGCAGTGGAGCACGTCCCTAAGCAGAAGGAAATCACCTGAATGCCAGAGGTTGCCAGTTGCTGTCCCACCTGACTCCCCACTCATCTCTGACGAACAGCCTGGAAACCAGTAGTTTTTAGCCCAAGTCTAGCCACCCAGGTGACTTGTTAAGCAAAGAAAGTCCGAGGCCTCGCCGGAATTGACCACACGTCTGTATGTCTGCCTCCTTACATCTTATCTGGGTTTAAGACCACTGACCTAGCTGCTCAGAGCTACTTGAAAAAAGATATAACTGATATTCTAAAAACCGGTACTTCTGTTAGAATCCTGGTAAGTTGCCTCTCCTGCTGGGATCCCACCGTAATTAGGAAGAACACTCCAAATGCACCTTCCTCACAAATTGGAAACTGAAGCCTAGGGCTGTTATAGTGGTGTTACTTTATTGGCTGCTATTTTTACATCAAATCAAGTATTTTTAATTACTTTCTATCTTTTACGTTTATATCATGAAGTTCATTAGCACAAAAAAATCTTAAAGGTAAGTAACATCTATTCATTTTTATTCCTTCTAGGTTTTTCAGTTTTAATTGAATTACTGAGGGAGGAATGTTTTTGAAACTAGTATAGCTCTAAGTTATAAATAAAATACCTGCATTATCTTTTGTCTCATAGAAGTTAGCATATGCAGGGGACCAGCAGTTGGCATCATAGCTATGTCCCTGGACTCCCATGTAATCAACCGCAGTTCAAGTCCCAGACCCGGTGGCTTAAACTCATGCCGGGCATGTGTGCGTGCGTGCCCAATCCTGAGAGGAGAATGGAGAGGGGATTGCAGTGTGACCATCCCCCAGGGGGACGGTTTCTCACTTTCTCTCCCTATGGCAAGAGCACAAAAACTTAAAAAAAAAAAAAGTATATGCAAATTATTCAGAGATGGAGTCTTTTTTTTCTTTTTCTTTTTTCTTCTTTTTTTTTTTTAAGTTTTTGTGCTCTTGCCATAGGGAGAGAAAGTGAGAAACCGTCCCCCTGGGGGATGGTCACACTGCAATCCCCTCTCCATTCTCCTCTCAGGATTGGGCACGCACGCATGTGTACCTGGTATCAGGATTGGGCACGCACGCATGTGTACCTGGCATCAGGATTGGGCACGCACGCATGTGTACCTGGAATCAGGATTGGGCACGAACGCATGTGTACCTGGTATCAGGATTGGGCACGCACGCATCCTCGTGTCAGGATTCGGCACGCACGCAGGTGTTCCTGGTATCAGGATTGGGCACGCACGCATGTGTACCTGGTATCAGGATTGGGCACGCATGCATGTGTACCTGGTATCAGGATTGGGCACGCACACATGTGTACCTGGTATCATTTTCAAGCTGCCAGGTGTGGCGCTTGAACTGCGGCCAGCCATGTGGGAGTCCAGCACCTTCATCACCATGCCACATGCTGGCTCCGAGTTACTGGTTTTTAAGAACCCACATTGCTATCACTAGAGTAACAGTTACTAATGAGAGTCAGCATGCAAAGTCAATGGAGTACCACACGGTTTTGGAAGTGCTCACGGACTTCACTGACCGTGCTCAGAAGCATCCCTGGTGTTACACAAGGGCCAGCGATAAGCTTCAGGAGGGTGGGCAGAGTACCTCGATAATGTGTTATGGTCCTTCACCGTATCCCGTGGAGGAAGTGGGAGCACCTCAAATTTTCTAAAAACACCTCATAAGTCTCTTTTACCCGATACCCCTAATATGCCAGTGTCAGAATAAATACATTAAATAACGTCCAAGGAGATGATAAGATAGGATCCAGGTCTGTTTTTCACCGCTGTCTTAATCCAGGGATGTGTTCGGAGAACACTGGAGCCCACGCCCACACCGGCCAGCTCCCGGGCCCCCTTGCTCGCCAGAGCTCTGCCGGCTGGCAGTGGTAGTGTGCTCCTGGGTTCACTGCAGACCCGCTGTGGCAGAGGGGCCGTGGTGCAAGACCATCCTCCAGGGAAACTACAGCCTGCCAGGCCCCCCTTCCAGAGGAGCACGTGTTCCCAGCTCACGGAGAGGCGGAGGCACCCACAACGTGGGAGTACATCATTCGCCTTCGTACTCAGTCTGACCCTCCCACTGCAGGCTTAGGAACGCATTCCTG